TAAACGAGCAATTCTTATATGTATATATAATCTGAATCCCGGAAACGGTTCCAACGATTCTTATAAAATTTAGTATACAGGTGATTTCGGGGGCGATAAATCGTTCTAGCTACGATTTATTTTCAGAAAATGTTATTTTATTCATGTTTTCAATAATCAATTTTATGACTCTTCTCGACATCTATTGGCGAATAATAATACTATACTAACCGCTTTAAACACACAACAAGATGGCGTTATCAAAAAAAAAAAAAAAAAACGAGCAAAGCTCGGTCATCATCTAATATATAAATGAATTTCCCGTCGGATTTTTTCAGTGGGTCGCGGATTCGGATGGTAGGTTTTTTTATTTTTTTTATTTTTTTTTATTGCTTAGATGGATGGACGAGCTCGGGTTTAGCGAAGCACTACTCTTGCTAGGGGTAGCGTTACTAAGCTCTCTCAGGTAGAGCCCGTGAGCTCAGTTACCTGTCCGCAAGTAGCGAAAAGAGTCCCTTAGGCTAACAGTGAGTACGTAGGGAAAAATCATATATATATATATATATATATATTTTAACGCTTAGGTGGGTGGACGAGCTCACAGCCTACCTGGTGTTAAGTGGTCACTGGAGCCCATAGACATCTACGATGTAAATGCGCCACCCACCTTGACATATAAGTTCTAAGGTCTCAAGTATAGTTACAACGGCTGCCCCACCCTTCAAACTGAAACGCATTACTGCTTCACGACAGAAATAGGCAGGGTGGTGGTACCCACTCGCGCTGACTTACAAGAATTATAATTTTGCGGGTTTGGTTTTTATTACACGATGTTATTCCTTCACCGTGGAAGTTAATCGTGAAATTCATTCTTCTCGATTATAAACGTTTCCATATCGCCTATGTCATGCTTTTGTAGTGGTTTTGACAATGTTTAGAATTTTCTAGAATATTTCCGACAGAACTAGAACAATCGAGAATGTTCTAAACTCGGATTACTGGACCACACAGATAGGTGTAGGTAAAATATTTACCACCTATTTATCGCGAAGCGCTCATTCTTTCCAGTTTAAAGATTGGGCCGTTTTTCTGTAATGTACCTTAGAAAAAAATGTCAAAATGGTTTTGTGGTAATGTATATAGATGGTCTTAATATCCATTTAAGGTATCGGGAATTCATCTGCTTAACTACATCATCATCATCATCATCATCATCATCATCATCATCATCATCATCATCAGCCTTTATCTGCCCACTGCTGGATAGGCCTTCCCCAATGCCTTCCACATAATGCGGTCCTCCGCCTTCCGCATCCTACGATTTCCCGCCGTGCGCACAAAGTCGTCAGTCCACCTGGTTGGAGGACGCCCCACGCTCCTGGTACCTATCCGTTTATGTATTTTTTTTATTCGCTTAACTACAGCGAATAAAAAAATTACATTAATTAAATTTCGCAGTTGAAGGTGACGCGGGTTCAAATTATATCAAACGAAAGTTACGTCATTAAAACTTTTAGAAAATCTACAAATCTCATAAATGTATGAAATTTTTCGTGACTAATCATAGAAAATTTCAAAATTGTTTCGAATTTTGTTAATAACGATCCAAAATTTCAGCTCGAACGGATTAACATTAGAATATTTAACGTACAAAAACCGGATAAGCTTTGGAAAACCGGTCGTAATTTTAATGAGTACAACATTGTGATATTCCTTAGTACTGTCGGGCTGCTGGTTCTATCTTTTAAACCAAATTCCTTAATTAGGAGAGACAAAACTAGTATTTATTTTAGTAATTTCCTTTTTTTTTTCTTTCTCTTATTTCGCATTCAGGAAAATTATTGTTGGACGAGCTAAAGGACCACCTGGTGTTAAGTATTTACAGGAGCCCATAGACATCTACAACGTAAATGCCGCCACCCAGCTTGAGGCATGAGATCTAAGGCCTCACTGTTCACAGTACAATGGCTTCCTCACCCTTCAAATCGAAACGCATTACTGCTTCACGGCAGAAATAGGCAGGGTGGTGGTACCCACCCGCGCGATCTCACAAGAGGTCCTACCACCAGTGATTACGCAAATTATAATTTTGCGGGTTTGATTTTTATTTACACGATGTTGTTCCTTCACCGTGGAAGTCAATCGTGAACATTTGTTAAGTACGTATTTCATTACAAAAACTTGTACCCGCTTGCGGGATTCGAACACCGGTGCATCGCTACATACGAATGCTCCCGACGTCTTATCCTTTAGGCCACGACGACTTGTAGGGTCTTTCTGACTATTGTTAAAATACCGCGAATTTCCTGCCGTTTTTCTTTGAGAATGTCACTAGATGAAAAAGTTTTTCTGGAAGAGATCGCCTTTTGAAATGAGACCGCTTATTGGACAAATTATACCTATCTATTGACTTATTCTCAATGTGAAGTTCATTTTGGCGTGCAACAAACTTTCTCTCTTTCTCTCTCTCTCTCTCTCTCTCTCTCTCTCTCTACCGTCCACATCCTAAATACGTCCTGCTCTTAGACGTCTCTAATTCAAAGTTCGACAAGTTCGTAGCAGATTCTTCGAAGAGTTCGAAGAGAGAAAGGCCGCAGGGCAGCCACTAATAATTGACACCACTTTTACGATTAAATGTTGAGTTTGTCATCTATATATTAATACGTGAAGCAAAAACTTTGTATCCCTTTTTACGAAAATTGCGCGGACGGAGGAGGATGAAATTTCCCACACTTATAGAGAATATAGAGAAGAAGTGCACAATGCTAATATTTTTTTTAAAATTATGCATAAAAGATACATTAAATCAATAAAGAAAACATTACACACACTACATACCATGTATTTGACGCACACACGCATCCATACTATAATTGTCAAACTTTTGTTTTTGACGTCTGTTGTCAAATTGAGATGAAATATTGTTTGTCTTTGTTAATATTTTTTATAGTGTAGTCTTGGCGAAATTTAAGTATAAAACACAATCATAATAGTGTACAAACTTACAATTCCAATTAATTATAGTCGAATTTCGACTACTGCGGGACCTCTAGTTTTCATTTATTAGTCGTATTTCTGATGTTTCGATTGATACAGTAATAATACTGTAACTGTTATTCTACTACTTGACGACGCTTGCAGCTGAAAGTAAGTATTGTACTTTTTGACGAAGCATGTTGCTGATAACTAACTCTATTTCTGTAATCTGACGAAGCATGTTACGGGCAATAACATGTACTTTTAAGTTAGAAATATTATGTTCTTTTTTTTCTAATAAATTTATAATATTAGTATAGTATGGACATAATATACGAGTAGCACGTTATATTTTTCACTAACACTTCACTTTTCTAATTCAATAATTTCGTTTCTACTACTAACTGTTACTATACTGAGAACTTAGAACTAATATCTCAATCTGGGTGGCGGCATTTGAAATTTGCGGAGCGGAAGAATTTGGATTCCCGCGGCCCTGCGCGCACGTGTGGGTGGACACCGGGGTGGTTTTAGCCGGTAGGAGTCCGGCGCGCCCCTCCGCTTTTCCCCAGGCGGAGGTAGTCCGTGAGGATTTCCCCCCGAAAAAAAAAAGGGTGGCGGCATTTACGTTGTAGATGTCTATGGGCTCCGGTAACCACTTAACACGAGATGGGCCGTGAGCTCGTCTAGCTATCTGAGCTATAAAAAAAAACGACAGTTGCTTACGAAATATTCAAAGTAGGTACGACAAATAAAACCTTAGATCCGTAACCATGAGAACACTTCAGTTCTAAACATCGGAAATAATTAGAATAATAAACTCGAGAGCATACTCGGAAATTAGATTTATTTGCTATGTCAACATCGACTTTATGTGTAATATATACGAACTAATTAGCAAATATCCGCAAAAGCTCCACAACAAAGACGTAACTTACCAGTAAAAAGCTCGTTGCCATTTTCATTACACTGATTAGAGCCTAAAAAAACCTAAATTGCGATTCAGTAGTCTGGTATTCATAAATCCTACAAATCTATTGGTAACTAGCCTAGACCCGCCCTCGCTTCGCTTCGGGGACTATCATTTATTATTGATTTTATTCAATTTTCCTTTATACAAATCTGAACTTGAGAAAATATATATATATTTTTTATTTTTTATTGCTTAGATGTGTGGACGAGCTCACAACCCACCTGGTGTTAAGTGGTTACTGGAGGCCATAGACATCTACTACGTAAATACGCCACCCACTTTGAGATATAAGTTCTAAGGTCTCAGTATAGTTACAACGGCTGCCCCACCCTTCAAACCGAAACGCATTACTGCTTCACGGCAGAAATAGGCGGGGTGGTGGTACCTACCCGTGCGGACTCACAAGAGGTCCTACCACCAGTAATGAGTTCTCGGTATAGACGCAAAGAATGTTTCAACGAACCCATTTGATTATAAACGTGATCAAAGTAAAAACTTTCCAACTTTTCAGGGTACCCAGATTAACTGCCGATAAACGATTGTAAATATAATCTACGGTATGCTAAGAACGCTTTATCGATATAAACTCCGTTCGAGTTAAAAGTTTTCGATAACTCTTATTCGCCGACCCTGTCGGGATGTATTTCCAATCAAACTTACCCTATTCATGGAGGTTCACACGTGGGACGTAATCAGAGTTGTCTCTCTCGATAGAGATTGTTTTTAGTTTTTTCGAAGTGAAACTTCTTTAGAATCGTTGTGATTCCAAACTCGATGAAACGAAATGAAACGAAACGAAAAAATAAGTGTGCCGCGATTGGCTTGCCGAAGCGGCTCCGAGCGGCGCCGACAAATCACGAGGTGCTCCACACGGTCTTGCGTCCCCGACTAGTTCAGTGTGGTTTTGACGTCCGTGCACGCTGTCGTGGCTCTCGGAGCGCCCTGAGATACCTTTATTTCAATTTAGTTTGTTATCAACAGATGTCGCTGCACGTAAATTTAACAATTCCTGAATCGCGGTGACGAGATGTTACACAGGTGATAGCCGTTCTCGTGTTTCTCTTGCTAAACTATACTTTCCTGGTGTAGGGCTTCCGTGATCACGTAGGTGGTTTCCCCAGGGTCAGGTTGCTCCATTGCACTGCGGATTGGTTGACCCTTGCGATTATACTTATTTTTATAAGTTACACTTCTACCGTGGGTGACACACATTTTTTTTCATGGGTGCTCGCAGCTTATACACAATATAAAAAAATGTGCGTCCATGTGGTGTTCCAATTGACCGGGTATTCGTAAATTGGATTCTTCAACGTAAAAAGAAGTGGCATCTGATGTTAGGTGGGTACAGGAATCCCCAAAAGTATTATTTGAATTCTACCACTTCGAGACTCGAATACGAAGTCACAATTATATTGTTTAACGTCTATTGCTGCCTGCAGACCAGAACGCACGACTTACGCCACGACTACTTTAGTACGCAGGGCGGCTTGTAATCAGTCGTGTTTGTAAAGTAGATTTATCTATTGTCTTCTGCACGAAATTGTGCTATTTAATGATGGGTAAAAAAGCATTCTTTGGTACTGCGTGCTGGTTGAATGTGCTTATTAAAGGATCAAACCTTTTCTTCAACCCGTGTAAAATCAACGTTGAGTGTATGTCTCTCTTCTCGTCGAGTCTTTCGCTTGCGACGAAGGGCTTGGCGAGTAAATTAACCCATAGACACAGCCCACTGAGCTTCTCGCCGGATCTTCTCAGTGGGTCGCGTTTCCGATCCGGTGGTAGATTCTGCGAAGCACTGCTCTTGCTAGGTGTGAGCCCCGTAAGCTCACCTACTTGTTAGGGTGGCGCTGAAATGGCCTCTCAAGGCCATCGGCGTAGAAAAAAAAATGTATGTCTCTTCATATGCACTCCGTTCTTTTCGGTCTCTTGCATTTCGCATCCTAGCGGTAGGGACTCTACCAGCTATTTTGACCAGGTCGTCGGTTTACCTCATTGGCTGTCTGCTCACGCTAAGACGTCCAGGACGATGTCTCCACTACAGTACTGTTACGCGCTGGGTTTGGGATTAATAAAATTCCATTAAAGTACAACTAAAAACTGTATTCAACACTTAGAACGCTTAAAACACTCAACAAACACTTTGAAACTCTCAATTCGCTTCTTCCACTTCGCTTCAGGTGATCCGTTGGCTGTTTCGCTTCGAGTAGTTCCAATTACTGACTGACCGCAACACTTTTGTAACCGATACCACATCCCTAGAATTATCGAGAATATTCTATACATTTCTAGTATTGTGTTTCCGCAATCTGACAATAGATGGCGTTGTATTTCTCGAGCGTTCTAGGTGCTACTAGATCCTTCGATATTCGTTCGACTATTCGGCGATAGATGGCGTTACTCTTACCGACGTAACAGTACTTTTGTGCCCCAGTAATTATCAGTGCGACGGGGTATGTGGCCGACCCACTTCCATTTCTCCGAGCAAATCACTTTGGTTATGTCAGTCAAACCAGTTCTTCTGTGGATTACGGTATTGCGCACCCTATTCCGTAGAGAAATGCCTAATATTACCCGTCCCATGTTTCTTTGTGTGCCGGAAAAGGATAGAATAAAGTCCCGTAATATTTAAGACTTCTGAGTACGGACTCTCACTAGTTAAACCTCCAGACTTGATAGCTTTATTATTAACAACGAAAGTGCCGATAAATTCGGACGTTCCACACGCTCCCTCTCGAATTAATGAAATAAAATGAAATCTAAATATATAATTTTCTTCTTTGTCTGTGTATGTTTGACAAAAGTTTAATTAAACTTACTATATTTGGGCAATCATTCAACATACGTGTGTATGGTAATGGACTTGAAATTTAATCGCGAATCTATATATTTATGTATGTGTACATAGTACATAGGTTGACTTGAATCTCGAGAATAGGTAGCTCCCTAGTTAGCGACGCTCATTTCCGGGCGGAGGGTCGTGTGGTCAGTTCTCATTTCGCGCAAAAAATTCGTGCGACAGCCCTAGAGGGCTTAGTTTGTGTCTGGGCGTCAAATATAGTATATCTATATTGAAATAATTCTACTGTACTTGTGTGTATGTCATCGAACTCCTAAACGGTTGGACCGATTATAATGATTTTTTGTATGCGTGAATGGCTTAGATTCACAAATCAGCCCGACAGATGGTGCTGCAGTCGGTATCTAAGTTTTTTTTTTTTTTTTTTTTTTTTTTTTTGCTTAGGTGGATG